TTAGTGTCATAAACTGCAAAAACTGGTAGGTGATCACTGATGTCATTAATTAATATTCCGCTCACAATGTTGTTTTCCATATTGTTAGTGAAAATATTGTCAAGTAAGGTGGCACAATGTGGTGTAATTCTGCTAGGCCTGGTTATTTTAGGATGTAAACTCAAACTGTACATAGTGTTTAGTATCAAGAAACTATTGGGGTTGTCGACATTCATATCATTCTGAGCCCTTATGAATTCACACTCAAATACTACTGAGACAGCACCATTTGCTGCCTTAAAAGATTTAGTGCTTAAGCCTTCAGTCATATCCTGGGTTGAAGTTAAGGGTTTTGCCATAAGCTAGAAAAATAAAAACAGCAAGATGGCCAGCAGCAATGTGTCATTGTTGGAAGGCAACAATAACTCAAATATCCACTTGTTACAAGCAAAGTATACAAAAGAGCGTATCTGAACACAACATTTGTCGAGCCTATAAGCAGATGGGCTACAGCAGCAGAAGACCACAACTTCTGCCATACCTGTCCGCTAAGAACAGGAAACAGAGGCTACAATTTACATGGGCTCATCAAAATTATGTGAGGGGTCTGCAGAGATGTTTTCTGTCCTTCTGGAGGGAAAATCCACAGCAATGATCCTGTCTCCAGACTGATTGTCTGTTGCACTCTGGCGCTGTCCTGCTTCGTGGCTGAGCCGAACCAGACAGCGATAGATCTGCACAGGACTGTCTGGATGAAGGCAGTGAAGAAGATGACCCTATGACAGGGTTAAGTTTCTGACTTGCCACAACTTTTTCCAGACAAATTCTATATGTGAGGACCACTTTAGATCACGTGAAGTGGTAGATCCTAGGAATCTGAAGTGATCCACAGTAACTACTGTATTGTTGAGGATGGCAAAAGGTGGGACGTTTTTTTGGGTTCTTCAAAAGTCCACCATCATCTCCACAGTTTTGAGCGGGTTCAACTTCAGGTGGTTCTAACTGCACCAGTGGACCAGTTTATCTGCTTCCCTAACTATACACGGATTTATCCTCATTTTGGATCAGACCAATGACAGTGGTGTCATCCACAAACTTTAGGAGTTTCACAGTTGGTTCTTCTGAGGTGCAGTGATTACTGTAGAGGTAGAAAAGCAGCAGACAAACTGTGAGTACGTCGTTTTTCAAACAAAGGTAAGTCAGCTTGAGTCTAGTTGAATGCGATTGATCGATTGACCTTGGGCTTTCTGATCTACAGCTGCACTGTGTAAGGTATAAAAATGCTGCAACAGTTACTGGAGAGCAGGCAGAAGCTATTGAAGGACACACAAGACTTCAGCACAAGAGCCCTGATTGGTTCCGATGGCGTGCCGGGAGAATCACAGCTTCGGTGAGGCACGCTGTATTTGCCACAAGTTTAGAAACTCCCGCCCAAAGCGTGGTTAATCGTGTGTGCTACCCTGAAAAGTCTATGTGTATTGTGCAAACAAGATGGGGACTGGAACATGAGGAGGACGCACGAAAGGCCTACACTGAAAAAATTGCAGCACTTCACCACTGTCTGCAGGTTCGTTTGTGCGGTTTTATTGTGAACACACGTTTTCCTGAACTTGGAGCATCTCCTGATGGACTCACTATGTGTGAATGTTGTGGGAAAGGGTGCTTTTAAATACAGAATGGACAGCATTAAGCAGGCAGTGGATGCGCAGGATAAAGACTTCTGCCTGGAGTTAGCTGCAAATGGACTTCACTTTTAAAGAGGACGCACTTTTACTACTGTCAAGTGCAAACACAAATCTTCGTGACCAGCGCCAAGCACTGTGACCTCATTGTATGGACCCAAAGAGACATGGCTGTGGTTAGCATCTTCCCTGATGTAGACTTCTGTGAACCACGATTGAAGAAAGCACAGGAGTTAATCAAAAAAAAAAAAAAGTGCCTTCCTGAACTTCGAATATTTTTCTCTATGCGTAGTGCAGCTCTGAATATCTAATTCTTTCTTTCTGGGGTCTACTTTTATGCCTGATGTGCCTAGACATGTTCACAATTTGCTTTCACTACTTTAGTACTAACAAAATACCACTTTACAAAATGTAAATAAAGAAACAAAAGATTTTTTTTCTTGCCTTTCATTACTTTTATTACAACAACGTCAAAGGCGATCAAAGTAGTTACAGTGAAGAATAAGTGTCAGTTACAGTTTACAAATACATTAATGTAATGACAACGTTTTTATAACATAACGCACTACCAACTGTCTTGAAATTACTATGTCTTAAGAGAAATAATCACAATACATACAGCACACGTTTACGAATTTTTAACAAGAGCAAGTTTCAGTTGTCCCTGGTTTTACCACCACACTGGGACACATGTTCACCAAAACGCAGCAAACCTTCACTATTTTATCAAGAAGGGTCACATCTTCACCCTCACATGGAAGAAGTAGACGGATTGGCATGGTGGTATGCAGCATTTTGAACTTATTGCGCGAAGTACCTATTACTCGCTCAACATGAATTCTTAGGTGGGCAATGGCTCTCTTATCTTCTATGTCCCTGGCATCGAGTTGACAGAAGCCCTTTGTATATGCAGGGATCTTAACCTCTGCACACATCATTCCCACAGGATCTCTGATTTCAAAGCCTCTGTCAGCCAAAACTACATCCCCTGGTAACAGCCTTTGAAGAATACCACAGTTCTCTGTGATATGTCTGTCTGATGCACTCCCACCCCACCCCTTGGAAATGAATGAAATTGCACCAAGAGGTGTAATCCCAACAAGGTATTTCATGGTGTGTGTACCCTTATACTGAGAGTATGTTTGTGCACGTGCCTTTAAATTTGATGGTCTTTCTGTACGAATTTCAAAACAATCTACAATGATGGCTACCCGTTTTCCAAAAATTTCAATAAATTGAGGGGGCACTGTGGCCTGTAAACAGTGCCTCTCTGGCCAGTGCACCAAGGCTCCTAAGCGGGCATACAAAACATCAATGGTATCGGTAAAGACAGAAGACAGAGTTTTGTGGGAAACATTGAATAGATCACAAAGATGCTGGACAGGAAGATCAAGTCTGAGACGCATGAGTGTGAGTAATAGCATTTGGAAATGCGACAGTTTCTGTGACGCTGGCAGAAAAGCTTTTACATTGTCAAACACGGCCAGTAAAATTGCAAAACAAGGTAGTCCAGTGTAATATCTTACTTTTTCCGTGTCATCCTTTAAAAAATGTTCATTCAGCTCTGTCTTTTTCAGTTGTGATTGAAGCTTCCTGTTCTCCAACAACCGGTTTACTTCTGCTCTGCTCTGTTCACAGCACACACAATCCTTCGTCTGTCTAGTAGCCTCTGTGTGTCTTACTGTCAGATCAAGATTTTCTACATTTGCAGTTGCTAACTCGGCCTCCACTTGTCCAACACAACTCTGGCCCACAGCCTCCTTGGCAAGGTGACTATGGTGTTGGTCTTCTGTCGTGTCCAACTTGAGCTGCTCTTCATGTGTGACTGCTGCACAGGCCTCACCTTCACACTCTACTACTCCTTTATGAAAGCCTGTCAGATACAAAAAGTACACACACAAAAGGGAAATGTTCAGCAGTATTCCAAATAAGGGCGCATGATTAATTAAAACGCTATGTGATGACAGTGAGAGCACTTTTTTTAATTTTAGGATGGGGGGTGGTGTTCTTTACCTCCGACTGCCGCTCTTTGTTGCGTTCGCCGTCTGTGACGGTCAGAATTAGATGTTAGGATTTCGGAGTGCCCCATATGGAGCGTTGGAACCCAGTCAGGATTTGTCTCATCCATTACATTGGCTGGTTTACCTACAATTACGCAAAAATAATATTAGCGTATCTATACATAGAAAGTATGTCTGCGAATTTACTCGGTAGGATGTTTGACCTCTGAGCGCATCAACATTCAAACTAATAGGCTATAAAGCTTGATATGTACATATTTAGAACTTACCGGACTGAAAATGTCTGGAGCACACCAACAGATGTTTGGAGATGGAAGAGAACTTGATATCAGGTCTTCTCACAGCTGCTATCCAGGCTAGACGCCGTCTTTTGGTTACATCAGCAACATGAGCTCCCTCATGTTGCTTCCAGGTGGGGAAAGAATGAAAAGATAAACCGTTTTCAGGCTTGTTCCTTTGCCGGTCGCGCGAACTAACGTTGCAACCGATTACAAAGCAAGTACGAACCATAGCTAATGTTCTCCGTGTGCTTTCGCTCCTCTTTCGCTAGCGCTTTTTTTGACCCAGAAATATGGCGCCTCAACCAAAAATCCTGACCACGCCCCCTCCCGTGACATCACGCTCCAAAGGCCTCCAAAGACTGCATCCTTGGTTCAACTGTTTGGCCAGTAGGCAAACTGCAGGGGTTCGAGCAGGATTTCTTTGATGTCTTTCAGGAGTGCTAACACCATACGTGCCTCCCTGCCGATTTCAGTGCCCCTCCCGATAATCTCCCGGAGCCACCATTCTCCCGAATTTCTCCCGATTTTCCAACAAAATTGAAAAGCCATATCGCAGAATTCATAGCGCGGCCCTGCCAATTCCAGTTTCCAACAATGGCGGCAGCTACTTAGTTTTAATATTCCTCTTATTATTCTTTCAGGGTCGCAAAATAAACTTTTAACATATTTTCAGGTGAGAATGTAGCTGTGTAAACTTCAAATATCTGAGCCAGCGAGAACACCAAACTCCCGACACATCGTTTTCAAACCCCCGCGGTCTTTCGCTACTCGGGTTAAACATGATATATAAGTCACTTTGACAACTTAAAAATGGTATTGTTTGGCTTTTTCAGTGTTTTATTTGTTCGTGAGTAACTCGGTTTGGCTGAGATTAAAGTTATTCGATTATATTAAATTAATTTAACTTTATTAATCCCTCGGGACGTTGTTTACAACGGTGACATTTAACGTTTTATGCGATAAATAAACACTGTAAAATGTATTCCCCCCCCCACAACAGCCCTTTTGAATGTCTCACTAATTCTGAGGTTGGCAAGTATGGTTAACACTAGTCTTTCAAAGGACTTAATGACAACAGACATCATGGCGGCAGGATGATGGTGGAGATCTGTTATAGACCAGGGTGAAGATGATGGGGGGAGGGGGCAATAGGTCAGCACAGAGTCTCAGATACAAGGGGGGCAAACTGTCCTGGAACCCTGGTGTTCTCTGACAGAGCAGACAAACATCCTCTTCACAGATCTTTAATGTAAGCAGGGGGTCAGAGGGGAGGGAGTGAGGGCTGCTGGTTCTTTTTGTGTGGATGTGAGGGTGAGCATAAGGGAGGTGTGAATAGTTGTCTTTCACATCTGCAGTAGAAGGTGTTAAGGTCGTCAGTCAATTGAGGATCCTCTTCACAGAGGGGGGATGGACTCCTGTTACTAGAATGTGCTGCAGGTCTCTCCAAACTGAAGCAGGGTCATTGGCTGAGAAGTAGTTTTTTTTTAACTTCTCATTGTAACTCCTCTTAGCGACCCTGATCTCCTTGCTCAGCTTGTTTGTGGCCTGCTTGTACAGGGCCCGGTTCCCGCTGCTGTAGGCCTCCTCCTTGGTCTGGCACTGCTTCCCCAGATTTGGACTAAACTATGGTTTGTTATTATTGTATGTGCAAAAGGTCTCAGTTTACACACACAAGTCCTCACAAAAACAGATGTATAATGTCACGGTGTCAGTGAGTTCATTTATGTCAGTGGTTGCAACTTCAAAAACTTTCCATTCTGTGTACTCGAAGCAGGCTTGTAAATCCTTCTTTGACTCCTTGGTCCACTTCCTGACAGTTTTAACTTTAAGCTTAGAAATGTTTTATTTCTGTCTGTAGGTAGGGTTAGGGTTAAAGCAGAAAGTGATCCGAGAGTCCAAGAGCTGCACAGTACAGTACAGTAATTGTGTCGGCCCAAGTATGCCAAATTACAAGTTCAGTTCTGATTAACTTGATGTTCTGTCTGCATTTTGGAAGGTTTGCACTGTTAAGGTCCTCTAGAATAATGATGAGGGAACCTGGGTGATTTTTCTCCATGTCAGTTATCTGGTCAGGAAGCTGTTTTTGAGTCTTTAAACACAACAGCCTACCTGAGTATTGTTGCTGACCATGAGCATCCCTTTATGACCACAGGGTAATCATCTTCTGATAGCTGTTTAAAGCAGGATAACACACCATGTCACAAAGCTCAAATCGTGTACTCAAATAATGTTCATAGTCAGCAGATCTCACTCCAACAGGGCATTGCAGGGATGTGGCAGCATGGGAGAGTCAAATAATGGATGTGCAGCCAACAAATCTGTGACGCTATCATGTCAACGTGGACCAAAATATCAGAGGAATGATTCCATCACCTTGTTGACTCTGTGCCAAGGACAATTATGAGTTTTCTGTGCGGGATCAGGTAGATGTGGATGTTAGTCCAATCTTACAGGTTACACTTTTTATACATGGAGGAAATACTACTACAAATACTGTCAGTTGGAGAGATTTCTGTTTTTATGATACAGAGTCGCCGCTGGGAGTTATTGTTAGGAAGGCTCAGTGGGGTCATTTTAATCCTGTCCTTTAATGCAGCGGTCCCCAACCCCCGGACCACAGACCGGTGCCGGTCCATCAGAGTTCGGGTGTGAAATTTATTGTTTTCAGGGTTTTTTCATCAGTTTTTACTCATTATGTTTTTAATTGTTTTTATCGTTAGCTCGGTTTCCATGGTTCTTTTCCCATGTGTTGTGAATAAATTAGTGCTGTCAGTGTTAATCTCGTTAAAATGATGTTAACGCCATAACCACATTAACGCGGCAAATCTGGACATTGGACATTGAGATAGTGGACTCGTATAGGTACCTGGGTGTTCACCTGAATAATAAGCTAGACTGGAGCCACAACACTGATGCTCTTTACAGGAAGGGTCAGAGCAGACTGAGGCGGCTGAGGTCATTTCGAGTCTAGGGAGCGCTTTTAAAGACCTTTTATGACTCTGTGGTGGCATCTGTCATTTTTTACAGTGTTGTATGTTGGAGCAGCAGTTTATCAGCAGCTGAGAGGAAGAGGTTGGATAAACTCATTAGGAAGGGCAGCTCTGTTCTGGGATGCACCCTGGACCCAATGCAGGTGGTAGGAGACAGAAGGACTCTGGCCAAAATCTCTGATGGACAGAGTCTCCCACCCCATGCATGTAAATGTTGCTGAACTGCAGAGCTCCTTCAGTGACAGACTGCTGCATCCTAGATGCATGAAGGAGCGTTTCCGCAGGTCCTTCCTCCCTGCAACTGTCAGACTATACAATCAAAACTGCTCCCAACAAACATAGAGGTTTACATCACCGCTGTAACTTGCACTATTTTATCAACCGATACACACTATAACCTGGGTTTGCCTCTTATCTGTATTTAATTTTATTTAATTTAATAACGGTACACTACTCTGTTTTTGGTAACCATTGTCCTTGATGTAAATATGTAAAAGTTGTGTATGTTTCTGTTCTGTGTCTTGTGTACTGTTTGTTTGTATATGTGTCTTTCTTGCTGCTGTTACATCCAAATTTCCCCTTGTGGGACAATTAAAGGATTATTCTATTCTATTCTATTCTTCTATTCTATCCCCGTGCGTGGGGCTGCATGGCTCAATGCGTTAGCACCGTGCAGCCCCACGCACGGGGCGATCTGCGCTAACTCGCTAATGGAGATTTGCAGCGTTAATGTGGTTATGGCGTTAACATCATTTTAACGAGATTAACACTGACAGCACTAGAATAAATCTTCTTTTTTTGGTACTGGTACTGGTTTTATTTTGTTGTATTTACCCGCAATACCGTAAAAGCTGGTGCGTGAAAATATTGTTGGACATAAACCGGTCCATGGCGCAAAAAAGGTTGGGGACTGCTGCTTTAATGTGGCCACAGTCAGACCAAGGCTCTCAGTAGCTGAGCTGCTTTGTATATCTTAGTGTTTCCTTTGTGCCTTTCTAGTGAGAATTGAAAAGATGAACACATCACATTAAGCACTGAAGTGAAATTCATTTTATATTCTCTTATATTATAAATAACATCTGGTCAGTTTGGGTTAAAAACATTCTGAAGTGCCATACATTTTGATTATTTGACTTCAACAGAGACCTTACAGTTTCACATAGACAACCCAACATTTCCCATTTAGGAAGCACTTACCAAAAAGAAAGAAAAAAAAAACCTCTGGCAGCAATTTACCTCAACAGACTGCAGAGTGAGGAAAACTGAGCACTGTAAAAACAACAGACAATAAACACTGAGCAGATCCAGTAGCCACCACAACTCTGGACCACACATTGCTGGCGCCACTGATACTGCAGAAAAGTGCAGGGAGGGAGAGGATAAAAGCATTAAAGCATAATCCACAGTGCAGAGAAAACAGTAGGTAAACGCATGCATCAGTGGCATTAGAGTAAGCAGATGCCTAATGGAAACTTTAGTTTCCATTGACAGAAAAAAAACATTGCACGATAAGTAAAACGATGCCAAAAATGTGAAAGAGGTAAACTGGCCTAAAAGAAAATGATCTTACATATAAACTTCTTTGATTCAACAGCTCTGTAATGACAAAAAGAGAAGACACAGAGACTTAAAGGTGGATCTTTCCGGATTCTTGAATTATTATGGTTTTATTCAGCTCAGTGTTTTTTTTTTTCTAAATTAAGCATGTGAGCTACTGTTAACATGAGCGTAAGAACTGCACATTAATGCTGCGACCTCCACACTAATGTCTGTGGTTATCATTGCAGTTGACAGGTTTTGCTGTGATATTATTTAATCCTAGCTACAATAAGTAATGATATGAAACGAAAAGTCAAGTTTGTGGCCACTGTTCGTTGCTGACCTGCAGTACTTTCAGTTGCCACAGAGGGGAGCCCTGGAGCCTTCAAAATCAAGTACTGCCAATACAGCTATTGCTGTCATGGCTACAATTCTAACAACTGGTAACTCACCAAACTGT